GGAGATTTTTCCTGATACCTAGCTGGAGTCAGGCTTTCGGTAACTTTCTGTAATCAGCCCTTTATTCCACATCCCACATGCTGGGATGATCAAGAAGAGATCTTGTCCTTTCTTTTTGTGACAGCCTTTCAAGTACTTGTAGAGTGCTATCATGTCCCCCCTCAGTCTTCTCTTCTCGAGGCTAAACATGCCCAGTTCTCTCAATCTCTCCTCATGGGGGTTTTGCTTCCAGTCCCCAGATTGTCCTTGTTGCCCTCCTCTGAACCCTTTTCAGCTTGTCTGCATCATTCATAAACTATGGTGCCCAGAATTGGGCACAGTAACTCCAGGCAAGGGAGGCGTAGCCAGAGTTGAGTAAAGGAAAACTAGTATTTCACATGATTTGGACATGAAACTTCTATTCATGAAACCTAAGATAGCATTTGTCCCTTTTGCCACCGTATCATATTGTTGACTAATATTCAGCTTGTTATCTATAACAATTACAAATCCTTCTCACTTGCTGCTGAACAAGTATTCCCCATCTTGCAATGATGCCTTTGGTTTCTTTTTCCTAGATGAAGAACTTGGCATTTGCCCCTATTGAATTTCATTCTGTTGTTTTCAGCCAAATGCTCCAGCCTATCAAGCTTATCTTGAATCTTATTTCTGTCCTCCAGGGTATTAGCCATCCATCCATTTTTGTGTCATCTGCAAACCTGATATTGTTTTGCACTTTGTCATCCAAAACATTCATTAAAATGTTGAAGAGGACTGAACATTTTGATACCCCACTTATTACCATTCCCCCAGTTTGAAAAGGTGCCATTGATAAGCACTGTTTCAGTCTGATTCTCTACCCAACTGTGGATCCACCTGATAGTAGTTCCATCTAGCCCACTTTTAACTAGTTTGCTAATCAGGATATCATGGGGCACTTTTATCTAAAGCTTTGCTGAAGTCAAGATATATTATGTTCACAGCATTCCCACAGTTCATCAGGTAAATTACACAGTCAAAAAATGAAATCAGATTAGTCTGGCAGAATTTGTTCTTAAGGAATCCACATTGGCTTCTAGTAACCACTGCATTGCTTTCAAGCTATTTGCAGACTGCTTTATAATCTGCACCAGAGTTTTCCCAGGTACTGATGTCAGATCAACTGGTCTGTAGCACCCAGGATAAATCAGGTGATAAATCTTTTTCCCTTTCTTGAAGATAGGGACAACATTTGCCCTTCTCTAGTCATCCGGCACTTGCCCTGTCCCCCATGATTTCTCAAAGACAGTGGTTCTGAGAATGCTTCTGTCAGTTCTTTGATGACTCTAGGATGGAGTTCAATGGGCCCTGTAAATTTGAATGCTTGCAACCCAATTAGATGATCCTTAACCATTTGCCTATTAATTCTGAGCTTCCATCCTTTTCCTTCAGCTTCCCCTTCATTAGGAAGGTCATAGAAGTTCTTTTGGGAGAAGACTAAGCCAACCACTTCTGCCAGAGGAGGTTTCCAAAGCATGGCCTGGTACAGTTTTGTTGGAAAAAATTAAGTTGGTATAGCTCAAGGATGTTAACAAGGTCCTTGGACAGGTTCATGCAACCACATCCATATTGGATCTTTGCCTTACTTGGCTTATAAAAGCTAGCAGAGAGGAAACAGCTGGTACAGCAAGATCAATGCGTCTTTACAAGAGGGAGTTGCCCCATGCTGCCTTAGAGAAACAGTGGCAAAACCACGCTCTGAACCTAGAAGATCCTAATAATTTTAGGCTAGTGGGAAATGTTCCCTTCCTGGTCAAGGTCACAGCCAACCAGCTCCAGGTGCTCTTGGATGAGAAGGATTATCTGGATCCATTTCAGTCAAGGTTCAGGCCAGGTTTAGCACAGCAACAGCTTTGGCCATCTTATATGATGAAATAAGCTGGAAAAAAGGACAGGGTGAGTGTGACCCTGTTGATACCCCTGGACCTCTAAGCAGCTCCCAGTGCTATTGACCATGATATTCTTCTGGGATGTGGGAAGTGCTATATTGCAGTAGTTCTCTTCCTGCTTTGATGGTTGATTGAGGGTGCTACTTGGAGAATGCTGCTAGGCCCCATGGATTCTCCAGTATGGGGTTCCTCAAGAATTGTCCCTGTTCCCTCATGCTTTTCAAAATCTATATGAAACTGTGGAGTGGCATCATCAGGAGTTGCCATCAGTATGATGAGGGCATGCACTTCTATTTCTCCTTTTCATCTTCTGTGGCCAGGATGTAAATGTGCTAAATCCGTGCTGGCTGTGACGAAGGACTGGTTGAGGATTCACAAACTGAAGCTCAATCTGGACAAGACTGAGATGCTGTTGGTGGGCAATCCCTCTGATGCAATGAAGGTCACCCAACCTGTTCTGGATGGAGTTGCAGTACCCTCTGAAGGAGCGAGTTCTTAGCTTGGGATCCGCCATGGCCCCAATGGCAAGCAGTACCTTCCACAAGCTTTGGTTAGTGGCCCAACTATGCACCTATCTGGATACACATACCCTGGTTTCAATAATCTGCTCATGGTAATCTCTAAACTACTGCAATGCACTCTATGTGAGTTTGTCCATGAGACTGTTCAAAAGCTGCAACTTGAGCAAAATATGACAGCCACTTCAATACTTGAGACCAATAGATCTGAGCAGACAACACCAGTTCTGGCACACTTGTTTTGGCTGGTCTGAATGTAGGAAGCCCTATATGGCTTCAAACTGCAAAACTTGACAGATTGCCTCTTCTAACCTCCATCTACCTGGGCACTGTGCTCAGCATCTGAGGCGTTCCTGCAAATGCCATCTCCAAGGGAGTCCTGCTTGGCAGCAACATAGTGGGCAGCGAGGGGTGGGGGTGTTCTTTGCAGTAGACTCTAAATTATGAATGATCTCATTAAGACCTGCCAAGCATCAGCTCTGCTATCTTTTAGTCACCAAGTTAAGACTGATCTCTACATCAAGGCAGTTAACATTTCCAAATCACACATGGCAGGCTAGTGGCAGTTATTTTTAGCACTTCTGGTGGTATAGACTTGCCAGAGAACAGGGCATGTTCAGCCTTGAGAAGAGAAGACTGAGTGCAGACATGATATCTCTCTACAAGTACCTCAAAGGCTGTCACAAAGAGGAAGGTCAAGATCTCTTCTTGCTAATGCCAGAGTGTAGGACATGGAATAATCAAGTCAAGTTGTGACAACCCAGATTCAGGCTGGACACCCGGAAAAGCTTCCTCACTGTCAGAGCAATACAACAGTGGAACCAGCTGCCTAGAACAGTGGTGGGCTCTCCCATACTAGAATCATTAAAAAAGAAGCTGGACAGCCATCTGAGTGCGAAGGTGTAACGTGGTGTCCTGCAACAGCAGAGGGTTGGACTCAATGGCCTTCATGGCCCCTTCCAACTCTACTATTCTACGATTCTATGGTTGCTTAAATTGTTAAAATTTGGCTTTGAATATGAAGTGAAATGTTATCTTGTCCTTACTGTTATTATATTTTATATTTTATCTTACTGTATTTTAACAACTGTTGCACACTGCCCAAAGAGCTTTAGTTCTTTGGAAGTACAAAAATAAAATCAATAATACTCATATTCATAATATTCATGCAATGGCCAATGGCATGCAAAAAAATTTCAGCTTGCCCTGTTTTACATTGCAATGCATGAACTAAGGAAAGCTGGTTTAGTTTCTTGTAACAACAACTTTGCAAGGCCAGCTAGAATACTCTCTCCTTAGCCACAATATCTTTGGCGAAAGCCAAACGTTCAGTACAGATGACAAATACATGCTAGACAGGAACGTCAAATGCAGCATCCTGCAAGCCTTTTCTGACAAAAGCAGACTAGAAACTTCTAGCTTCTGGTCAGACTCAGCACAGATAGAACTCGGAGATTATAGGCCTCAAAGGCCACAATAACACTGTAATGGGCAAAAGGATACAAACCATTTTGTGGCAAAAGGATACAAACCACAATTCCACAAACACTAGAAGCCTTCTGCTTTACAACAACAAATTCTTCCATTTGTGATATCCCCACCAAACTTTTCTGAAGCTACTGTATTACTCACCACAATCCATCTACAAGGTTGGGTTGTTATATATTGTGGTATTAAACCACACTTTTCCAGTTTAAATGCAACGGAAATCTGGGTTCAGAAAGCCAGAGCTATTCATCCAATACATGCTGACACAGGGAGGAGGGAAGGATAGGAGAAAAGGTATCATACCAATTTTGTCTGCTATGCCTGAGCATCTCTCAAGTGGTTTAATGGAGTAACATATCACTTTCCAAAGTGGGGTGTTCTAATTGACATAAATTATTTCAAAACCATCTGAAATGTAGATTCTGCAAACCCTAAGTTTTGCAGCAAGGCAAAAATCTCTCCTTGCCTCAGCTGTTTTGAAAAAAATAAAAACTTCTAATGGTTTAATGAAATAACTAGGAAAAATGAAAGAATCAAAATCAAAAATCAAAAAATCAAAAGTCTGATGCACTTAATGCATTGTTTTCATCAATTTTAATTGCCTCTGTAAGCCACCAGATTAATTTTAGAAGAAAGGCAGGGTACAAATAAGATAAATAAGCACACATAATAAAATGAAAATCTGTCCAATTTGATGGTTATCCTTCTATCTTGTGGCAAACTAAATTATAATGATAGTTTTATGACAGGGGTATTGAACCAAATCCACCTCTTCTTGGGTACCATCTGACCTGAAAGATGGTCAACATCCCTGCTTTATCATCTGGAAATTAGAAAAGCAAAGTGAAGATGATGGCAAACACCAAAGATCAACATATGTATAATGTGTTTTAATGTTACTATGTCTCATGGTTTTGTTTCTTATCGTTATTTATTTTTATCTGTATTTTAAATATATTTATATTGCACACTGTGAGCCACCCAGAGCGCCTTTGGCTATGGGGTAGTATACAAATGCAATAAATAAAATAAAATATATCAACACTGTGAGTTATACATACATTTACAAATATACATGCACACTCAC